AGAGAGAGAGAGAGAGAGAGAGAGAGAGAGAGAGAGAGAAAGAGAGAGAGAGAGAGAGAGTTGTTGTTGTTATTGTGTACCATAGAGTTGGAACCAACCCATAGCTGGCCCTCTGGTGGGTTTTCAGAGGCAGTTAATTGTGTAGGAGGAGACTGCCCATCTTTCTCCTGAGGAGCAGCTGGTGGCCTTGAACTGCATGTCTTCAGGATTGCAGTGCAGCTTCTTGCCATTAGGCCACCAGAGCTCATTGTCACTATGTCATGTATCAGGGAGCTCTGGTGGCTGAGTCGTAAGGAGTTGAACTGGCAACCCAAAGGTAAATCTGTCCTCTCCTCTTTGGGAGAAGGATGGACAATCTCTTCCTGTGTGATTAACTACCTCTGAAAATCCACTGGAGGGTCAGCTATGGGTATGCATGAACACAGAAAAAGGTGAGAAATATTTCAAAATATATACTTAACTCTCTTATTGTGTATTGCTATTTCTTTCACTCAACATATTACATGCTAATTTGTGAATATAAATATTATCAAATATATTTTAAAATACATAATTCTATGCATTTTAAAGTGCCAGAAACCATTATTTTGAAATAAAATCAAGAAATTAATAAGGAAAATACTGCTGGTGCATAAATAGCATTCAGTGCAGTGTGAAGAGGGACGGGGTTTAGTAGGTCAGTGCAGATGTGCAGTGACCTCAAGTATGGAAGCTCAGACAATGACAGGACACACGGCTGGCAGATACAGAGAAACGGCCAGCTACAACTGAGAAGGAGCTTCACCAATTCTTTCATTTCTCTCAGGAAGTGGTGACCCTAAGAGGTTGACTGAGACATTTTTAAAACTTCAGATTTATCTGAGCACTTTTAAATTTTAAAAATATAAATGCCATTAATTAAATTTTAAGGAAGAATTAGTGGACACATAGAAGATGTATCAATTGAAATTTAGGCCTCCACATATGGCTAAAACAACTAATCTACCTAAATCTCTAGGATTATTATAAGACCATGAACTTGCCTGGTCTTTACCAACATGAAAAGGGTTTGCTGTACTGGCTCATAGCTGATCCTCCACCAAGTTATCACAGGCAATAAATTACACAGGAGTATATTGCCCATTTTTCTTCATGGGGCAGAACCTGGATTTGAACCGAGGGTCTTTGGGTGGGCAGCACAGCTCCTGACCACTAAGCCACCAGATCTACCTACATTAAAAGAGTTGGCCTTTTTCTCTCTCCCTGGAGGTTACAAGCTCAGGAAACATGCTTGTACTGGAAAAAGCAATTTACTAAACAGTACCTTGCTGCCAGAAAGCTAATTCAATTCCTAAAGGGAGTCAATTAGTCCCTGATCAATGCCAGGATAGAACCACAGCTCCTTAATGGAGTGATAAAATAATTATCATTTCAAAATTAGTCTGGAGCCAGGACTAACATTTTGGAACCTGTCTTGATGTTTGGCAAATCTTGTGTACTCAAGTACTTATCTCATTGTCTTCTGAGCAGTGTGATGTTTGACTACAAATAGCAAATGGCTGCCCATCAGGAATGGAAGGTGGGATGGGTGAGTTTAGCGTGCAGCAAAGGCCTTTTTAGCTGTGGTGCATTTGTCCTAGTTTGGTTTCATGGGAATAGGTGGTGTCTTAGCTGATTGTATCTTGGCATCTCAGCAGGAGGAGGAGGGGAATACCATTAATAAGGACATATTTAGGGATAAAGCATAATAGTTGGTCACATATTTGAAAATAGCATGAACAAATAATAAAACCAGCATCTCAAATGTGTCCAGTTTCTTCAGAGAATGAGTCTACCATCTTGAAAGGACCCACATCCTTCCCACGGTGCATGCTGGCTGAGACAGATGCTAGGGAAAGCTAAGGGCCAAGAATCATGAGCTGGTGTGTGGTCTCTCAGCACACACCTAACTGAATTGTAATTGCAAGTCACGACTCACAGAAAGGTATTCTTTCTCCTGTAGGACAGCTATTATAATATTTCTGAACAAACTCAGCAGAAATTTAACATCAACAGTGAACGTTACAGCTATGTGAGATCAAATTATGATCAAATTGGGAATCTTAAATTCTTAATATTACACATTAACTCCATCAACCAGATATTTGCATTTGTATTTAAACTTAAATGCTTGGAGACAAGGTGGTGTTGCTGCTGTTGTATACCATAGAGTTGGAACCGACCCAGAGATGACCATCCCGCGAGTTTCCAGAGACAGTTAATGGGAGGAGATTGCCCCTCCTTCTCCCATGTTGCAGCTGATGGTCTCAAACTGTGTGCCTTTGGGATTTCAGCACAGCTTCTTTCCACTAGGCCATGAAAGCTCCCTTAGAGACAAGTTAGAAATTTTAAAACCACCTTAACTTTTCACCTCATTGTCTTTGATTAGGAAAACTAAAATTACTGACATTATATGAACTGACTGTATTTAAGGAAACTCTCCCTCATTGTTGTCAAGTCAGAAACCACTCATGGCTGACTCTCCAGTGAGTTTCTGAGGCTGTAAATTGGATGAGAATAGATTGCTCATTATTCTCCCTCAGAGAAACTGGTGGATTTGAACCACAAGAGAAGCAAGGCCTTTCAAATAACAGCACAGCTTCCAAAGGTCTACACCCCCAGAGTTCACTGCTAAAAGTGTGTGTTTCAATGAGATGAGATTTCATCTCACCCCAGTAGCAGTGCAGCATTTAATAGGAGAGCAAACAATAAATGTTGGAGAGGATGCAGAGAGATAGGAACACTCATACACTGTTGATAGAACTGTAAAATGTTACTCTAGAAGGCAGTTGGCATTTCTTTAAAAAGCTGAACATACCAGCAAATGGGCTCTCCTCCATATTTCCTTTCAGGGAGGGAGGACCATTCCATTGGAGATATAACTTTCCAATAAATCTATCTTTACTATTTTACCCTAAAAAAATTGAACATAGAAGTCCCATATAACACTGAGACACAAATAGAAATCTGTACACAAATGTTCATAGCAGTGTTATTCACCATTGCCAAGAACCTGGAAAAAGCCCAAATGTCCAACCACAATAGAATGGTTTGAGAAACTGTGGTACATTCACATAATGGACTACTACACAGCACCCAGGAGCAATAGTTTTGAAAATTACTACATAACTTGGGAGGGACTGGAGAGCATAATGCTGAGTGAAGTAACTCAGTCTCATAAGGATGAATACTGCATAAGATCATAATTGTAGAAACAAAGATAACTAGGAAAATGTGTATGAGGATCAAAGAGGGGGAGGGTGAGAGCAGAGGGATGAGGATGGGCAGGGAGTAAATTATAGGGTCACACAGTTTGGTAGATAGAGGGAGAGGTGAGGAAAGGAAATGGGAAAGAAATAGGTGGGGAGCTAGAAAGACTGGGTAATGGTGGGTATAGTTCAATGACGATTAATTTTTTTTTCTTGTTGTGTGCTGTCAAATTGGATCTGACTGGTACAGGAAGAGATTGCCCCCCTTCTCTAGTGGAGCATTTGAACCACACACCTTTGGGATTGCAGCACAGCTTCTTGCCACTAGGGCATCAGAGCTCTCTTCAATGATGATTAAGTTTATAAAACATAGTGAATGGGAATGACTGTATGAAACACAATGTGAATGAAGGATAGTGTGAAACACAATGTATACGAACTTTGTCAGCAAATCAATAGAAAGGAACCAATAGTGTTTTTAAAAAGTGAAGCTCATGCTTCTAGAAATTGTTTTTTGTAGCTTGTTCTGCCAAATAACCTCAAAATCTTTTCAAAGTAGTATTGCAGGACCAACAATGGGCCATGGATCACTACACATTGTGACTTCAGCTCTCGGTAAGGTTAACCTTAAAAAAAAATAGTCCAGAAGAGAGCATAATTCAAAATCGTCACTGTATTATTACTTAATGATAACCCTAAGGATGTGTTCATCCTTGTGTACAAATCAAATCCAGAGATTCTTTGTGAATTAGGCTGTTGAGCCTTCAAACACAAGAACTCTCTGAGTAGTCATTTAAATGAGGTGCTTCACCAGGGTGGGATCCCTGAACCTCAGGCTGGGGGGGTCTCACACAGGGACACAGAGCACTCAGACAGTGCATGAAGATGGAGACCCCTGACGTCAACAGTCCTGGACCAGGTATTTAACAAGCTCCTTCAGAGATTCATGCAAATGGTTCCAGGACATTTGCTGTTATCGCTGCTGTGTGTGGTTCAATCAGAACCAACTCATAACCTCCCCTGAGGCAGGTTTTCAGAGGCCGTGAGTTGCCTGAGCAGAGTCAGCCCATCCTTCTTCCATGGAGCTAGAGCCTGCCTGCCTCTGGGCTGGCAACACAGCTCCATTAGAAAGTAGAAGTATGCTGAGAAGGAAAGCCTTCCCAGGGACAGTTTTAGGCCTGAATAAAAAAAAATATTTTTTATTAGTTTAATATTTTCAGTCTCTCTCTCTCTCTCTTTTGTCCTCCCTCCCTCCCTCCCTTCCTCCCTCGCTCCCCCTTCTCTCTCTCTCTCTCTCTCTCTCTCTCTCTCTCTCTATATATATATATATATATATGGATGTATGTAGATGTGTGTGTATATATGTGTGTGTATAGATGTATATAATGTATATATGTGTGTGTGTATATATCTCAACATCTATATCTATATATATAGATGTATGTAGATGTGTGTGTATATATGTATATGTGTATATATGTGTGTGTATATATGTATATGTATATAATGTATATATATGTGTGTGTATATATATATCTCAACATCTCTAGCTCTATATATCTCAATATCTCTATATCTATCTATCGATCTATAACTATGGCCTAGTGACAAGAAGCTACACTGAAATCTCAAAGGCACATGGTTTAAGGCCACCAGTGGGAGGATGGGCAATCTCCTCTTGTGTGATTCATTTCCTTTGAAAACCTTCTGGAGGGTCAGCTATGAGTCAGTTCTGACTTTACGGTGCACAATAACAACAACACTAGATATAGGGTGCTGTGGTGGCCGAGTGGTAAGGATTTGTGCTCCTGAACCAAAGGCACTCAGTTTGGATCCACCGGCTGTTCTGCAGGCAAAAAATGGGCAATCTACTGCTTTGAAAAACCACTGAAGGATCAGCTATGAGTTGGTTCTAACTCAACAGTACATAACAACATATCCAACCCTACACTATAAAATAAAACCACAATTTAACTTTATAATCTTCAACATCAGTTGGGCAATTCCCTTTGTAACTAATTCTCAAATTCTCATACTGAATACTATGAAAGCACATTAGACCTTCATATATTATTGTCTCAGGTATAATGTTACACTGAATTAATCAACCATATCTGCAGTGCGCAAGCTATCTGCACTATTTTGCAAAAGTTAACAGAATCATTCTGGCAGAAACAACATTTAAAAGACAGGTTATCTTAGAACATATCTGGGGATGGGAAACAGAAAGATAAAGGGATTTCTGAATATTCGTTTAGAAAGTAGGAAGACTTCAAAATGAAGAAACATCTTTTAAGCCTAACTGTACCTCCCCAACCCTGACATGTCCCTGTTAAAAAAAGTGATCTTAAAGACTTTACAGTCTTTCAATGCCAGGGTTCAAGGAAAAGCCCACATCTACAGGGTATGGATCTCCACTCGCAGGTGAAAACAGACGCAGAAAGGATACGAGGTATGGCGAACAGCTGAGCAAACACGTGAAATGACGAACCCCAAGCCATCTGCCAAGGAGCCACATACGTCATGATGAACTGTAACTTGTGCAGCAAGTCCCCGAGCTGAAAGCAAAAGAGAGACTCATCAGAGAGGATACGACCATCGTGGTAGCTGGGCCAAGGTCATTCTCAGCAAATGTCACTGCTGGGAGATGCAGCCAAAGGTGAGGCAGTGTGCCGGCTCACGCTCACCTTTGTCCTTGCTACGCCTCAGACACTTAGTGATATTTTAAATCAAAACAGGTTGATTATCATGGTCACCTGTGCATCTGAGTGCTCCTTCAACCATGTCAGACTATGCAGACCATAGAGCAGGATAGCCACAACCTGATCTGCTATCTTTCAAATGAGGTCTTTTAGAAAGAGATTCATACAAAAACCTATCATCATTGACACTGTACATTGCACCTGATACCACTTGAGATTCTTGTTGGAGAAACATATCATTGAGATACGAGTTTAAATAAATATTTTTTAGAATGCTAACAGGATACAGAAGCTGTTGCAGTGGTTGACAGATAAGCATTTAAAAAGGGAGAGAAGTTGGGGTGAGGTGGGAACAAATTGATGCAGCATGACAATGAGTGCGTAATGAATGGCTGTGCTCATTGGTTCTGAGTGAAAATTCAGACCAGCAATGTGCCAAGAACAGGTGCCCTGGCTGTGGGTTTCTGCTTTACAGAAAGAAGTGACTTAACAATAGAGATGCAAAATTGTACCGCTATCACTTTCAGAGGTTGTGAACAAACAAACATCCTACAGAAATGTTTCCCCAAATCCACACATTGTTGTTGTCATGTGCTGTTGAGTCACTTGTGACTCATAGCGACCTTATGTACAAAAGCTCTAAATCCTGTTCTATACTGTGCCAACCTCACTGTCTCTGACACACTTACTCCCACCCCTGCTCCAATCACTGAATCGATCCATCTCATCGAAGGTCTTCTTCACCTGCACTGTCCCTCCACTCTCCCAAACATGATGTCCCTCTCCAAGGACTGGTCCCTCCTTGCAACATGCCCAAAGTATATCAGATGAAGCTTCAGAATCCTTGACTCCAAGGAGCAGCCTGGCTTCACCCTCTCCAGGACAAACTTGTTTGCTCTCCTTGCAGTCCATGGTATAGTCAACAATCTTCTCCAGGACCACAGCTCAAAGTCATCAATTCTCCTTCTGTCCTTCCTAGTCACTGTCCAGCTCTCTGATGCATAGCATGCAATTGCAAAGACTATAGATTGGATCAGGCACACCTTAGTCTCCAGGCTGACACCATTGCTCTTCAGTACTCTGGAGAGGTCCCTGACAGCTCACTTTCCCAATGCAATTCTTCCCTTGATTTCCTGTCTGCTGGTACCAAAAGTGCTGACTGTGGAGCCAAGCAAACTAAAACTGTTAACTATCTCAGTCTTTTCACCAACTATCATGATGCTACCAATTGGCCCAGTGGCAAGAATCTTTGTTTTCTTGATATTGAGCTTCAATCCATACTGAAGGCTGCAGTCCTTGACCTTCTGCAGCAAGCACTTCAGGTCCTCCTCAGTTTCAGCAAGCAGGGTTGTGTCATCTGCATAATGCAGGTTGTTGATGACTCTTCCACCAATCCTGATGCCACATTCCTCCTTGTAGAGCCCAGTGTCTCTGATGATCTGTTCTACATACATATTGCAAAGGTATGGAGACAGAATACATCCCTGGCAGAACCCCTTTCCAATTTTGAACCATGTAGTGTCTCCTTGCTCTGTTCTGATGACTGCCTCTTGGTCCAAGTATAGTTTCACATAAGCACAATCAAATGTTTGGGATTTCCATTCTTCTCAAAGTCAGCCATAGCTTGTTGTGATCCACATGGTCAAAAGCCTTTGCATAGTCTATGAAGCACAAAAAGACCTTCCTCTGGTACTCTGCTTTCTGCTAAGATCCATTTTACATTAGCTATAATATCCCTAGAATCACGACCTCTTCTAAATCTAGCCTGTACATCTGGCAGTTCTCTGTTGACATATTGCTCCAGTTGTTTTTGGATAATTTTCAGCAGAATCTTGTTTGCATGTGATATTAATGATATTGTTCAATAATTTCTGCACTCTGTCGGGTGACCTTTCTTTGGAATGGGAACAAATATCGATCTCTTCCAGTCAGATGGCCAGCTGACTGTCGTCCAGTTTTCTTGGCACAGCTTAGTGAGCACATCCAGGAGAATGTCTGTTTGTTAAAATAATCAATTGGTATGCAGTCAACTGCTGGAGCCTTGTTTTTTGCCAATTCTTTCAGGTCAACTTGAACTTCCTCCTTCATCACCACAGGCTCTTGCTCATACTATTTTATGAAATTCTTCTGTGTCAGCTAATTCCTTCTGATACAGTGACTCTGTGTACTCCTTTCGTCTTCGTTTAATGATTCTTGGATCATTTAACACTCTACCCAAAGCATCCTTAAGTATTGCCACTCATGGCTTGAATTTGTTTTCAACTCTTTCAGCTAATGAAATGCTAAGCGAGTTCATCCCTTTTGATTTTCTGACTCCAGCTCTTTGCACATTTCATTATAGTAACTTTCTTTTTCATCCCAAGCTGCCCTTTGAAATTTTCTGTTCAGCTCTTGAATTTCTTCCTTTATCTTTGGCTTCTCAGTGCTATAATGCAATATTCAGAGTCTTATCAGACATCCTTCTTGGTCTTTTCTTCCTCTTCTGCCTTTGTAATGATCTTTTGAATTCTTCATGGATGATATTTTTTATATCCTCCCACAGTTCATTTGGTCTATGCTTATTGGTGCTCACAGACTCAAACCTGTTGAGTGGGATAGACTTAAGGTCAAATTTTTGTTCTTATAGATTTGATTTCATTTTCTTCAACTTCAGCTTGAACTTAAATATGAGTAGTTGGTGGTCTGTCCCATAATCAGCACCTAGCCTGGTTCCACAACAGATATTGAGCTTCTTCAGCAATTCTTTCCACAAATGTAATCTATTTAATTCCTATGCATACCACCAGAAGAAGTCCATATGTATAGCCTGTGTTTGTGTTTTTTTAAAAAAGGTATTTGCAATGAATAAATCATTCAATGTGCAGAACTCTATCATTCTATTTCCAGCCTCATTTCTATCACCGAGTCCATGTTTTTCAGCTACTGATCCTTCTTCCCTGTTCCCAACTTTGGCATTCCAGTTGCCCCTTTTTATCCTGATTGCATGTTTGATCGATTTCTGACTGAAGAAGTTTGTAGAAATCTTCCATTTCCTCCTCTTTGGTTCTAGCTGTTGGTGCATATATTTACTGGACTTCCTTCTATGTGTATGGATATTATCCTGTCACTCACCACATTGTATTTCAGGATGGCTATAGAAATTACTTTTTAAATTATGAAACCAACCTGTTCTTCCTCACCTTGTTATCCTCAGCATAGTAGATCATATGATCATCTGATTCGAAATGCCCCATGCCAAGCCATCTCATTTCACCAATACCTAGTATGTTAATATTTATGTGTTCCATTTCTTTCTTAACAACGTCCAATTTTCTTTTTTTCAGTTTTTTTATTATTATTATTATTAAATTTTATTCG